AATTTTATCTAACCTTGCTATTTTTCCACCATTTCTGGTACAACAATGCTAATTTATGAAGACTTAATTAGAAAACATACTTTTTTATTTAACATTATTGTGCAAGTAACTAAGGTGTCTCTGTGAGGTGTTAAAAAAGCCTGTGTTTGTAAAAAGGTGTTTAGTTTATAGAGCCTTGAGAAATGATCTCGGGGTTGAGAATTAAACAGCTAGGACTTTTATTAAGTGAATAAACAGAAAATTAAGTTGTATTCAATTCCAACTAGTGTCACAGTCCTGAGGAAATAATTCTCCCAACAAAATTAGTACCAAGACTACAACTGACTTTCATGTGAAAGCAGAATTTAGTGCCAAAAGTAGCTTTAATTTTTCCTACGAAACAACTCAAAATTGCTACTATATAGGGCTCTGGCACATGTTACTTCATGACATGGCCATAAGCAACCTATTCAAGTTGGTCCTCCTTTGAGCAGAGAGTTGGACTAAAGACAATCCAGCTTCAAACATTTATGATTCAGTGATGTGTCAGAATAGAGAATTCAAGGTCAAACAGATGCAAAGAGGACAAGCGCATGGGAGGGGAGCAAAACTTATTATTTTCTTTGATGTTAGTAATGGAAGAACCTGGAAAGACTTCTTAGGGAATAGAAGAGAAGGCAGATGAGAGACACGGCAGAGGATCTCTGAAGCTGAAGTAACCATGGAATAAGTTACATAGAATGCACACCAGGAAATGGCTGGAAGTGGAATTGGTATTCACTCAAAAAGCTGTGAGAAAACTCAAGAATGAAAGAGCTGAATTCCTTATGGTAGCATGGAGAGGTTGCAAGAGGCATAAAAAGGTGATATGAAAAAGCAAATGGTGATAAATACCCATGTCAGAATACATACTATCTCCTTTTCTTCTACAATCACAACTGGATTCTTCTGTCTCACAGTATGTATTTTACCCTGAATGTTTATGGGCCAGTGAAATTTTACACCTGCACATCTGAGAGGCCTTGAGCCACTCTCATTTTCAGGTAATAATAAACGTGAGAGTTCTGAAACAGGTGTGAGTTCTTTGTTCAGTTCCTGATGTTCAAACTCTCTTGCTCTGACTAGGCTTGTCATTCTCCATGCAAAAGAAATAAACCCAACTAAACAAATCTTCCTTATGGGCTTATTTTCCATAGGAAAAAAAAGATGAATTGCAGTAACTTCTTGAAAACACACTATTTGTATTATATATGAACTAGACCTTGTAAATAGCACAAATGAAACTGGTATTGAAGTTGGTTTTGTAAACACCCGAAAAACTTTAATTTTCGCAGGCATAAATTACAAGTAAATTCCTTGCAGATAAGAAACTTAAGCTGTTAGCTTGTTAAACTGTTAACTTTAGTAAATAAAGTCTTACCTGATGATAAAGTCGAGAGAACAGACCAGAAGTATTTAGGAAAACACTTTCTTATCTGTTATTTGTCTGCATGAAGTATTTCTGTATATTGTTAAAGTTAAGATGTTTTGGGTCCTTTAATAATAATGGAATTGTAGTTTTAAGTTACTGTGAAGTGTGTGCTCTCTACAAATCAAGTCATTGTCCTTTGCATTTGAAAGCTGTGGTGAGAGAAACAAATTGCATAGCTTCTGCAATGGTTTTCCCATGACTGATTCTAGTGGTGTAAAAGTTCTTCAGAGTTCTTGATACAGTTTCCTCCTCACTCAAAAGAAGTCACCTTAAAGTTTCCATGGTGGTGAAGCAGTGTGAATGAGTGAGTCTAAACCTATTCTGCTTCCAGTGAAAACATGATTCTTCTGCAGCTGAGGTGAAGATGACCAGGTCTTAAGGATACCTGCTTCCTTCCCCTGCTGCTGTAAGCTGTTACCTCAAGCTCGTTTTCTCATTTCTACAGATAAGGATAGGAAAGGAAAGGTGAGTAAAACAATCCAATGAGAATATGTCATGAGAGGTCTAAGGTCAAGACAATTTATCACTCGTATCTGTCTGGAGAATCATCAGCATCAATAGCAACCATTCATCAGATTCTTTTCTTAGTTAAATCTTGTTCACTTCATTATTTTCAGGGCTTTCTCAAGGCTGTGGTAAAACCATGCCTTCTGACAGCTGTTAAGCATTATATGAACTGCAGAACAGCTATGAGTGAAAGCAGCAAATCCATGGGATAGTGTCAAGTGTGAAGACTCTCATATAGATTAAAAATTGCTATTCCAGTGGTTGGGATTGACATTATAGTCAATATCAATAAGTACTTAGAGCAATACAGAAGGACAATGTTATTTTTATGTAGTAATTTCTCTGTGTTTAGCCTCATTTCAGAGCGCAAGAGTCATAGTGATTGAGAGTATTTTGCCATTTAGGTATCTTCTGAGTTAAAGGTCATAGAAATATAGTCAAAAGGTACTTAATGCAATGATGGATAGTATGCAAACTATAAAGAGATTTGCAAATAAACTGATTTTCTAAGGGCTCAGTCCCACAAAGGTGTTGAGTATAGCAATAAAGTTAACAGAAAATTTGGAAGCCTGTTACATTGACTGATGAGTAATTATCAACAAAATGGAATAGGGAAAAACCGATAATAGTAATTATTTTACTATAATCCCCTTTTATTTTTGTGTAGGGAGATCATCTGTGCAAAAAGACATGATGGTAGAGCACTATCTTACCATTTTACAAATATTTAACAAGTCAAATTGGCTGGGAAGAGAAGCCAAATTAAACATTACCTAACCGTACAGGGGTTCGGAGTTGGTCACAGATGTCCTAGAAGAGAATATGCCGAGAGGTTTCATGGCCGGAAAGCAAATGTGTTGGTCTTAATAGTAAAACCACAACTAGAAGCAGTTCAAACAGGAGGTTTTACACAAACTATGTGAAATGCAGCTGTGCAGCATTTCTAGAATACTATTACTAGAGAGCTTATTTTAATGAAGAGTGACCCTCCAAAGGTCTTAAGAACCAATGCATTTGACTAGCCAGAAGTGGGTCCAAAAAGAGGAACTGCAAAAGCAGAAATAAAAATGAGCCTGCAGATTCATTACTCTTGTATGTCAAATTGCTTGCACTCTTCAGCGTTTAAGAGGTTGTGGTGTTTGTTTTTTTTTTATATGGGATAAGAGGATTATGTGAGGCCTGGCTTTGCATTCTGTTTAAGTGCTACCTTAGAAACAAAAATGCTGATTCCCAAACTACAATTTCTGTAGTAAGTGGCACTGAAAACCAAGAAAAAGCAAAACCAGAAGTTGAGCACTCAGACTGACAATACTGAATCTTGTCTGTTTTTTTTCTAGAAGATTGTAGAATTAGAATGAAAACTCTTATATGTACAAAAAGAGTTTTTGTCAGAGTTGTTTTGTCCATTGCATTTAAAAATGAATGCTTATAACTGGTGTTATTTTTCTTTAAAAGTTAACGTAATTTTTGAATGTTACCAATTAACTAGGGTTAATAGAATTAGGTACTCTTCAGTCTTGGTTTTTTTTGTTTGTTTTTTGTTTTTTTTTTACAAATTCTATTTTTCTAGATGGTGTTAATGTGTAAATTATTCAGGCTAGGTTAGAATCTTCATGTCAGTGGGATGATGACAGTTTACTACAGGAAAGCTGTGCCTCATAATGTGTATATGATGTGTGAATTCTTTATTTTTAAGTGCAAACAGTGATTTTCATTCAATTAAATGAATTCTGTACAACAGAAAACCAAAAAATTGTCTTTGAAATGAATGTTGATGATAATCAGAGAGGGGCCAACGCTACAACAGATTACTGGTGAATATTCACAGGCACTGCTTATTGTTTTCAGGAATGCAGATAAAAAGTGAACATTCTAATGAATTTTTGCATAAATCTGTAGTAATGTAGAAATTTGAATCCAAGGGGCCACATAAAGTGATCTTTTAAAATAATATTGACCAAGTGTTTGAAGTAAACTAAGGCAGTTTTTAAACTGGAGTGATGAGAAATTCATTGCTGCCAAAATTTGCAAGGACTATGGAATCGGCAGTATGTTACTCATTCTAGTCCAAGTATCAGGTACACTGAATGATTGAGAGAATGATTCAGTGTTCATTGAAGTATTGGGAAATTTTTAATTTGGTAGGCCAATGATTTGGTCTGAGATTGAGACTAGAATGGTTTTGAAAGGAATTAATAATTAGACTTTTCTATAAAGTACAGTAGTGCTGGGCTTTTTCTGGATCTGCTCCATGAGTATGTTTACTTGTTTTTTGTATACTAACTTCAGGACACATATATCCACAAAATGCCACCTGTCTGCATACCTCTCATACCATCAGCATATTCCAGACATGAGCCATCTGACTAGAAGAAATTTTTGCTAGCAGAATTAGTATTCATATGTGGCAGTTAGTGTATTTCTAAGGGTTAGGGAACATAATATAGGAATGTGATGCAAAAAGAGAATTAAGATGGATCTGAATTAATAGAAGAGAGGACAGGAAAAGTAAAGCAAAGGCTGAAAGGAGAGGTCTGCATAATTGAGAAGCACTCGTCATGCTAGATCTTATCAGATGTTTCGTCTCTCAAATGTGCAAGAAGAATGAATGAAAATGGAAAAAAAAATATTTCAGGAGAGAATTCTACTTTTCAAGAGATGAAAAAGGAAAAGGAAAATGCAGTCATATGATGCAGAGCAAACTTCTTCCAGTTTTTTGCTAGGAAAGACATGCAATTACAGATTTTTCATCTATCCCTGTAAAACCACAACACACAGTTAGAAGCACAGCAAAGATTCCAGAATTAGGGGAGACTAAAACTGAAGAAGCAGCCGACCTGAACTATCACCAGTAGTCTGCATTAGTTCATGCTAAGTTGAGTTGCTAAGATAACCTATCTTGCACGGGTTGAATCCAGAACGTTTCTGAGAACTGAGTTAATTAGTGAAATATACTAAAGTTAACTAACTCCCCTGCCAAGAAATGGGCTCTTCCATTTGCCTCACATGATTATCTAGGCACTTTCACTTTTCCATATATAGGAGCAGCTCAGGGACTGACAGATCAGGCTAGGTAGGGATACAGACTTCAGGCACATGCATACTTCTTGCATGTGTACACAGATGCAAGCACATGCTGCTTTCACGCACTGAAGTTAGTGTAAGAAGTAATAAGTGAAGACAGCAACAGTCCTGCTGATAAAGAACCTTCTCCTTTAAAAGAAGACACTAGAGGTATAACTCTTCAATTACTGTTTATAATAATCCATCAGGAAAAGCATCACAATCATGAATGGGCCAGTGGATGGTTTATGTGATTACACACTGGATGATGAAGGGACTTTCATGTTCACATCAGAGTCGGTAGGAGAAGGACACCCAGGTAAGAAACCAGCTCTGGGAAGTGCATAAGAAGAATAATATTTTAATTTAAAATGTTTTTAAAAACATGAAGAAGAATTAATATGTTATTAATCTTATTATAGAAGTTATCTGTAGCAGGGCACTTTTAACTTTATTTCCATTGGACCTTGTCCATACAGACTATAGAACAGCTATAACTAGGGTGTTTCCAACAGTTTACATGCTTTTGCAGAGCATGTGTTGCACTGAGGAGGTCAATGGGGTTTATGGTTGCTGCTCCTTTTCATCTGAATTTCTTTCAGTATTACTGTGGAGACATTACTGTATCTCACAGACTCAAGTTTCACATATGGATAAGAATGCATAGCTTGCTTCTCAAGTTCCGTATCTTTATGGGCCCTATGAAATTGTCCTGCACATATGCTATGCTCTAAAGCTGTCATCCACAAATATCTCTAAGCAGGCTATTTCAAAACCTCTAAAAATCAGTGGTTGCAGCAGCTGCACATAGCAAAGTTGCTGCTTTTTTTCCCCCATTCCATCATCTGATGCAATATATGGAATTGCTTAAGCAAATAGTGGACAGTTATTTGCTAAACTTTATGTATGGTCAGCAGAGCTTAGTTCAGTTTTGTTGAAAACAAATGTTCATCTGCCATAAACATGTACCTTGTGTCAACAGCCAGTGTTGCCCCAGATGAGGTCAGGGGACAATACACTGTTTGATGTCCTGAAAAGTGTATTTATTTTAGAAGCTGATTTTGCATCCTCTACCTTTTGCTGTAATAAGGATTTTTCAGGTCTGTACTCATGTTATGTGAATAAATCATAAATGGGTGAAATGACAGAGCAGAGAATAAAAACATCAGCAGTAAGAATTTCATATCCATAATTCTGATATTCTTCTATAATATTAACTTATTACTTCAGATTAAATCCGTGGCTGATGCAATTGAGCACATCTCTGACAATGTCAAGGTAGCTACATCAGGTTAAGCCAGTTGGGGTTCTTTCTGATGTAACACAATCAGAAAATGACAACCACGTTTGATCCTTCAGACATAGGTCACCTCTCGAATTTGTACATAATTACATCCAGCATCTGTAGTGCAATGTAGTTTCATAGGGAAAAGAACATTACACAATATGGTCATTTTAAATTTGTGATGGTATTTCCAATGATGACAGGTCACAATTTATGATACTCTATTTTTAACTCTGGGGTAATAATAGGTAGGTATCAGAACAGGAAGAGTTTGAGTCTGCAGGTTTAGCTTTATCCTTTGGTTTCCTTTATTTCTCTTTTTGTCTTGTTTCTTGTTTTTGAATTTGGCCTGGTTTTTTAGTTCTTAATGTCACACTTCCTATACTTCCTAGACCTCCGTTTGCCCTCAGTCCCTCGAGCATTTTTCTCCTTCACTGGAATACTCAGCAGGCCTTTGAGAAACAACGTTACCACTTGTTAAATTTATGTACAGCCTCTCATATGGCAGAGGTTGCCAGATGTCTGGGTACTGTGAGGTGTGAAGTGGCAACATGAGAGCCTTCTTGTAGAGGGAGTGGAAAACTGGAATTTACTCAGATGTTCTCAAGACTGTGATATACTTTCTTAAAAAGTCTTCATGTAGGGGCTGAAAACATAAATGCCTATGACAAAGGAAAGCTATAGATTTTCCAGATCAAAGAAGGACCCTAAGTAACTCTGGGTGGTCCTGCAAATTCTTGTTGCTGAACACAACTCAGCAATAGGTCTTACTCATATCAGCAATAGCTCTAGTTTCTGACAGCAAATTGATCACCCTTATATCCTAGGCAACCCCCTTTTCCCTTCCTGGTTTTACACGAGGGCTGTATACATGCCGTTAGGTTTTTATCATCCAGGAAAAGCTAGGCTATTTCTTAAAATGGGACCCAGTGTCTGAGGCTGTAGTTCGACTTCTGACATTATCAATAGCACTAAAATTTTATTGTGAGTTTTGAGTTTCTCTGATACCAAATGGATAATCTGCATGTTCTTGATTATTTCTCTTCTGCATGTGATAGTATAATTTTGCTAGAAGGCATTATGTGAAGTAAAGACCCTGAATCACATCTCTGTCTGGTGGAAATTTGAATTGTTCTGATTATATTAGCTGGGGACTGAATGCCTTAATAGAGACCTTTTTCTTAATAAACAAAGCAGGAGAAAATACATGCTTATTTATTTAGGTACACAGAGAACTGCCTTACACCTGTGCAATGCCTAAGGGTTGTGTGTCACTAAGAAGCCCAAATTCCACAGATGCAAGTAATAGCTAGCCATAATTAACATATAGGTATTACTTATGGTCTCCAAAGACTTTATATAAGACTCTGTTTATTCTATCTTCTCAGTCCAAATTATTAAAAATTACTTGGGTATAAAATGTGGGACTTCCTTCCAGGTTTTTAACCTTGGCATTTAGTGGGGTAAATTCCAAACTCTCTGAAGACATATGCATAACTTCTTCATTTCAACATAAGCACATAGATAGCAGCACAGGGAAGAGAAATACTTATTTTTATTTAGATAGCTGTTTTTTTGTCACTGCTCCATTTTGCTTTCTCCAGTAGTGTCTGTCCATGCTGCACAATGGTTTCACTGTGCTTTGAAAGGCATTGTGTTTCTCTGATCCACAATGTCTTACAGGTGCCAAACCATTTAGGATTAATTCCTTCCCCTATATGGTGTGACTTCAGGTGGAATTGCCTACAAACAGAATGTCATTCAGTTTTCCAGTAAGTACCAAGGAATCTCTTTAAAATATAAGAGAAAACATCTACTAAAACCACCCTTAGATTTTCAACCAGACTAAAAGCATATATTTATCTTCTGGATATTCACAGGAAAAAAAAAAACAAACAACCCAAAACCCCAAAATCACCAAAACAAATAAACAAAACCCAAAACTAAACATATGAACAAAATATTCCCAAATCTAAACAGAAAATGCCTATCTTTTCAGCAAGTTGATGCTTGCGTGTCTTAAATCTAATATTATATATACTTAACAATACCTAACATTGTGTATGCTTAACAATATACATAATACTTCATTAAACTGTGTATTGAACAAAGAGAACAGATGTACAAGATATTTAAACAGTGTAGTGTTAATATTGAAGTACCACTGTAGTTATCAATTAGCACTCATCCAGTCTTTTAAATAGGAAAATTGTAATACAGCACAATTCAGCAGTACTGTAGGTACTCATGGGAGCAGAGTAGAGGGGCAGGATCACCTCCTTCGACCTGCTGGTCATGCTCCTTTTGATGCAGCCCAGGATACGGCTGGCTTTCTGGGCTGCAAGCGCACACTGAAGCCGGCTCATGTTCATTTTCTCATCGACCAGCACCCCCGAGTCCTTCTCCTCAGGGCTGCTCTCAATCCAGCCTCTGCCCAGCCTGTATCTGTGCTTTGGGGAGGTCCTGAGACCTTGCAGATGTCACAGCTTGTGTTAGGCTCTTACTTAGTCTAGATTCACGTAACAAACTTATGTTCAACTATGTGGAAAACTGTGAAGCTCTTTCTAATTACTGGAGATCACTTTTGTTGTTGAATGCCTTCTTCATAATTTGACAACCAGGCATTTGAATAAGGTTTATCATCAGCTCCACAGACTAATTCCTATGGCTAATTGGCATCTCTGCCATAAGGCTGGGCCTGTGAAGATTTGGTTTCCTGAAAAAAATTTATAGCTATCTAATACTTTCCTGCTCAGTCAAGAAATCCTCAGCCTAGACATTGCTTTTGCAATATTTATACTATTCACTACATGAAGGTATGCATAAAGTGAAATCTTACCTATGACATAGTTTTTTAAATCATAATGCCTCACCAGACATGGTCGATCATGCTTTCCCCATTTCCAAAAAAAAAGAAGTAACAAAAAAAGGAAGGACAAACATACGCTGTCACATTTAGCAGCTAATAAGACAAATGGGACAGTTGAGATGAGAAATTTCAATAACAGAATGAAGGATGCACAAAGCTTCCTAAGCATGGCTAAAAATAGAATGCCTAGTTTTGTTTTACACCAGAGACCTTTACTAATAGATATGCCTTTACTTGAATGAATTTCAGGGAAAAAAAAAATGGAAAAAAACCCACAACATGAAAACATCCTGTTAAATCTTCACTTACTGATTTCACTGCTTACTATGGCTAATGCTTCCCTGAGACATTTCAAAATGAACATGAAGTTCTTTGTACCAGAGAGGTGCCCCAAGGAAAAGTGAGGATGAATTAATCATATGAGATTACCTGTACTCATCTTGAATGTTTTGAAAAGAATGCATATAATATCCCTGTATGTGCCATACAAGAAACTTAGACAAACATGAGACACTGGCATCTAATGCAGGTGAGACACTTTTCATGTAGAGCAAGGACAGGGTTAAAGGTTGTTCCTGGCACAGAAATTCTGTGTAGTGAATAAAAACTACAAAGCAATCAAAATCACCAGGAGTTTGCTGTAGGTCATTGGACCTGCACTAACAAAATCATCCTATCCTAGTTGCTGTGTTGTCCCACCCTGGTAATCAAATATTGCATATTTTGGTCAATATTTTTTGCTGTTATGCTTGCAAATATGGCTGTATTTCCTTATAAAATCAGAAACTTTGAAGAGAGCAAGCAGAGATACATTTTAATCACTCTTGCCACCTTTGTCCCCAGTCTTGTTAAACAATGTTCATTTGGACTTTAAGTAAATTGCAAGAATTGCATCTGATTCCTGTTTGGTAATAATTATCTCAAATTTAGTCATCCAAGCACAGTTCTTGCAAGGCTAAAAGTCCCAATGCAGCCTTCATTTGCTAATTGTCTTTTGTGTTCATTCTTTTTGTGATCAAGTGGTTAATATGAGAGATAAAAGTGTCAGGATCACATTAGTTCTCTAGTCTTCGATTTGTCCCTCTTAGCTAAATGTAGTACACCTTCCTAATGAAAATAAATGAGAATACATTTTGACTCGAGGTTAAATGTATTAAAAGTCTCTAATGACATACTTTTACAAAACTTTGGTTTCCAACATTGTGTTGCAAATGGCAAGGAAAGAGATTAATTTATTTTGCCACACATCATGTTATGGCAACATCTAAACACAGTATGCAATACTAACCTTTTTTTAAAGAACAATAAAATTAAAATAGATGAGAAAATTACCATTTTCATGTGAAAAGCTTTTTTACGGGTGCTGCTCTTTTGTCTTCCTTAAATTAGCTACATTATTTGACTGAGATTCATTATTCATCAAAAAGTAAGAAAAGAAAGAAAAAAAGATTATTATGATACACCTCAGCTGAAACCTTTGTATTTGGGGTGTAATTGAAGATGCACTTACTCAAGATTTACCTCAGGAAAACTTCAGTTGGTAACCCCTTCTTGCTTCTGCATTTGCTACTTCTGTGCCTTAGTTGGGTTGCAGGGATTATTAGGAGATGGCGTTGCAGGATGGTAGGAAGCAGTGAGAAGACGCAAACCAGAAACAGGCACTTGACTATAAGCAGTAGCTTATATGTATTAATCTAAACACGTTCTCAGGCTTTACCAGCAGTGTTGGTGTGCTATATTCCAACTTTCTGTCAGGAAGATGGAAGTTGATGGTGGAATATCACCTTGATGTTAGAATGCTACTGATGTGGAGTGCATGCTATATTGGCATTGTCAGAGGAGGAGAAGGCTGGGAGAAAAGCTTTTTAGCCCCTCAGGAAATTCTATGCATAACCTACTTGTTTCATACCTAAGTGCAGAAAACTGCAGGTAAAGTTATAGTCTGTATTATTTTACATCAGTAAGTAAATTCTCTGTTTTATCTACTGACTTGGTTTGCAGGATGTTGCATTAGTCTTTCTATTTAGCTAGCTTATATACTCCATTAAAAAGCAATAAAAGAATTCCTTGCTGAAATACCTACCCTTTCAAAGCAATGCAAACAGTCCATGTTTTTTGTACAGAGTGCTATGGTTTAGAATCACAACTTTGATGTTTTGCAGATAAAATCTGTGATCAAATCAGTGATGCTGTACTAGATGCCCATCTCAAACAAGACCCAAATGCCAAGGTTGCTTGTGGTAAGTTGTCTGGTGCTTTTCTTTAAGTCATCACCCAGTCACTGTTCTTTTTTTATGATGTTTGCGAAGAGCTTGATGCTATCATTTGTTAACTTATTTTACTCTCAGAAAATCACATAAGAATTACAGTCTTGAAAAGAAGGAGAGAGGAGAAGAAACAGTAAAAGTTTTTATAAAGACTGAAGCCTAAGCAGGCTGTAGAAAGGTAGGATAGTTAACTTTTTGTGTGGACTGAATTTTCCTGGGAGAAACGGATTTGGCTTTGTTATAGTGGATTTTTGAAAGAATATTTGAATTTTTTGTTGAAAAGTTCATTTACTATATTTAGTAAAGTACTGATTTTTCAGTCCAGGTCCCCATAACTGCTTGGGTTTTTTAAATCTCTTCAGAAAGAGTTGTACTATCAACTTTGAGGTTATTATGTCAGCTCATGCATTAGGTGACTAACCTCCATCTTCAGATTCTTCCTCCTGGGCCTGCACAGGTCAACTTCAAAACAGTTGGTTGCTGATGAGTTTCATTTAGCCTCAGTATGTATCTTTGAGTGATTAAGTAGATTTAGAAATCAGAATTTAATGCTGTATTTGCTTAAAATCCATGCATATCGCTGAATCATGCTCAGTGTTTTGACTTTCCAGTTTGTAGATGAGACATATTCTTTTTCTTTCTTTCAGACATACAGTGAATAGGGAAAGAATTTGTTGTAGAATAATACGAAAAATATGGGTATAAAGGACTTACACTGTATATACCCATTAGATCTCTCAAACTCACTATCATTACAAACAGTTATTTGCCTTAGTGGTCAGGGTTACTCTGCTGATGTAAACCTGTTTTCATCTCTCTTTTCAGAGACAGTATGTAAGACAGGAATGGTGTTGCTCTGTGGAGAGATCACATCTCATGCTATTGTGGATTACCAACGAGTTGTCCGAGACGCAATTAGACATATTGGCTATGATGATTCAGCTAAAGGTTGGTGGAAAAACTCATTAAATCATTGAAGAGCAAGCAATAGGCAACTGCAAACCAGGTCTTTCATCACTTCCACATATAGGCTTTAGCAAGCCTGGTAAAAACTGAATATCCTATGTGAAAGCTGCTTACATGGTGCTATGTGATACAATTTCTGGCTTTATACCAGTAAGTAGAAGAGCCATCACATATTATTTAAAACTGAGAGGGTGTAGGCAGAACATACTTTGAACTGTGGTATTAGTCCAGAATACTTACCTGCAACCTGAGCACCAGTATTTACCAGTCTTCTGAACTTGTGAGAACTCGAATGTTGCTCTTCATTTGGCAAGCTGATTGATGCATCTTGGTGAGAAAGAGAGGGAGTTAGAAACCTAGCTCATTTCATTGTACCATTATATATTTGTACTGTGGTTAGCATCTAGAATTCCCAGGTGTAAAGCAGGTTCTCACTCTGCAAGGGGGTCTGTTAGCTCTGAGCAACACCTCCTATGCTGAGGAAAGTGTGGTCCAAATCCAATTTGTGTAACGTACAAATGATAAAAAAGGCAAAATGCTTTACATACCAGACACTTTCTGATTTGTCATATACCTTATACGTTACAAATACTTCAGGTATACTGTTACAATGAAGTGTACCTTCTAAGAGCTTTTAATTAAAAACAGTTGTTTCCTGAAGTCCTTTAATTGCTATTGGATTTACAGGCAGATTGTGGACAGAGAATATTATAGTAGCACATCTATAAGTTTCACCATCATGTAACAGCAGTGCTTTCAAAAAAACCTAGTAAATGTAGTAAATCTCCTTTCTATTCTAAATGCCAAAAGTGATAAGAGGAGATGCAGTGACCCAGCAAAAAATGAGAAGCTAAATAAAACATGCATGGAAATATAATTTTCTTCTCTACATAGCTCACTTAAAAGAGGGTGAAGAGCATTTTTCAAGTGGATCATGTGCATATGGATGTGTATATGTATGTTTCATTGGCTGAACATGAGTTTGGTCAGCAGCTGCCAGTAGCTACAGTCTAGGAAAGGCTGTATTTGGAGAGAAGCAAGTTACTATTAACATACTTAGGAACAGGTAGAAAATTTTGCTTTCTGTAAGTCTTTCAATTTTAAAAACCTTCCTTTTGACCTTAGAAAGTAATGTAAAGTAAATTCCCACTTCCAGATTTGCTGTGAGACTTGCTGTGGCTCTCTAACAAACTTCCATGAGAGATTTAGGCACAATAACCACTTTACATGTATTACAAATAAAGTATCAGAGAACAAAGCCTTCGTCTGCTGAAATCATCAGTTCCTTGGAATTTATGTAGAGGTTTTTAATAGTGTTTATTTGGCAGAGGCTCATAATCTACTTTTTTTTTGCTAGTTTTGTGCAGTTAATTCATAATTTGAATTAGCTTGGCACAGGATGCCAATGCAAAAGAAAAATAAGCTGTAAGAAGCAATAAAGACAATCCTATATACTCCACTCCCTCCCCCAGAAAGGTTTCAAATGTTGTGTTGACAAAAAAAAAATAATAACTAAAAATAGCAGTTAGGTTTTGAGTTCTGAACATGGTATCCTTCTGAATGAAATTTTCATCATATGGTTCCACGTTACTTTCCTTAACTGTGACGAAAAAGGCTAATTCACTGCTATTTTTTTTTTTTTCCCAAATAGGTTTTGATTACGAATTCACTGTTATTCTTTTTTTCAAAATAGGTTTTGATTACAAGACTTGTAATGTTTTAGTGGCACTGGAACAGCAGTCACCTGATATTGCCCAAGGTGTTCATCTACACAGGGATGAAGAAGATGTTGGTGCTGGAGATCAGGTAAACATAACATCACATCTAAACCAACAAAGCTGTTTGTTTGAGTGGAAAGTTTACCCCATCTTACTGCCCTGTTTTCTAACTCAAAACCCATGTAAAGATTTCCACACTTCAATCTTGGGCTACCCCAGAATGAAAAACATATTTTTATTAAAACAATTGGAACTTCATTGAGGGCAGACTTTTGCCAGGTGTTATAGCACTTTATGCAAGTCAGAAAAGCTCTGACAGTTTGCAGTAGCTGAGGATGTCTCCATTAGAACTTACTCAAGATTATTTGCTACTGTATTTAATTTTTTTTTTTAATTGAGTATCTTTAGATTCATTAAACCATTCATCTTGCATCCAAACTTGTTTTGTAAGATGGAATAAACAAAGGATCTTTTAACTTTCATGGAGCTTTTGAGATTTTACACAGCAAAAAATTAGGCAATGTTTCAACTGTCTTCAGCGTTAGTACTGTGAAAGCAAATACGCTAGAGTACTTTTATTTCTCACTTATTTCCCAGAGGCATCTGTTGTAATAGATGTTTCACATAATTAAGGCTGTCCAAACTGCATTTCTATGAGCTCAATAACACATGTAGATAATTATGTTATGTTCCCAAGAGAAAGATGCCATAATCTAACTGATGCTAATATGAGGGAGTTTAGCATTTACAGTATTACTAGTAATTACTAGTTTATAACAATGCTGTTGAGAACCATAAATGGCAATATCAGAGTCCAGAAGCCAAGCTAATATTGTTCAAAAATCTCCCGACGACTAAATTAAAATGCTTTTATGCTGTCTTGAAGACACAATTCTACGTAAGATGAAAAGATATCTGACTTTCTTTGGCATTTTGATGACCTCCCTTCCCATCACATCAAAGTACCTTCCTGCTTTTTTTTTTTTTTTTTTTTTTTTACCACAGCATACACTGGGTGAGAAGAAAGAAAATGCTGCTAACTCTTTTTAAGAAACGATGATCTGATGCATGGAGCATGACTGAATAGCCATAGATGCTGTGGCTAGAAGCATGTGGCATTGTAAATCTGAGGCAGATGCCTTAAACTGTTGAATGGTACTTTGTTTGTGGTGTGGAGTATTCACATCCCATTCCACTGAAGTTTCAAATGGAAGCTGCAGTATAAGTGTGTCTGCATTCATACATAAAAGACTCTACAACCTTTCCAGGCTAATGATACCACTTTTCCCACGACAGAATAGTCCTGAAATTGTTTTCCTTTAACAGATTTCTTTCCTGTGAAAGAACCTGATTTCTTCACAAAAGTGTCTGCATTTTTGTCTAGGTTTTCAGCTCAATATGTAAACCTTCAGGCTTTCAGTGAAAAATTCTAGAAGCAAGGTTTGTTTCTCATTACACTGTAACATGTTGGAGCCTGATCTGAGTTTAGGCTTCCTACACTGTAATATAAAACAGTAGAAAGTAAACCTAAAGGTATTGTTTACTCTTTGCTTCAGATGAAATCTCACTGCATTTGGTTGTGGTGCTTTTAACAATGATTGAAGTATATTTTCTCCTCCTGTAGGGTTTGATGTTTGGTTATGCAACAGATGAAACAGAAGAATGTATGCCTCTAACAATTATTCTTGCACACAAGCTGAATGCCAGGTTAGCAGAGTTGAGGCGTAATGGAGAACTTCCTTGGCTAAGGCCTGACTCTAAAACACAGGTAAATACTGCTATAGATTAGTTGAAAACTAATACTTTTTCTTTCCAGAATTCTTAAATCTTTTTCTAGACAGCAATTGAGGGTGTTCAGAGTACCAGGGTAAACTACAAGTAGCAGGTAGAGCATTTCTACTGTTGGAAAATGGTTAACTTGCATCAGAGTGCTAGGAGCACTTAACCACCTATCAGTGAAGAAACATTTAACCTTTCAGACCTAAGTGGTCTGTGCTCATTGAAAAAGTGTCAGGAGATGTAAAGGATTTGTTTGTATTTAGGGATTCAGCTGGCCTTTTTGAAGAGGCACTGAGAATATAAATTTCTGAGGCTTGTGAGTTTCATTGGAAATCCCAAATGAAAGACACATTTTGGACAACTTCATAGAAAATGAGATTGTCCATATTGAGCAAAAAATAAAGAATGAGAAAATGGGCTTTTTTTTCTCATACCGTGGCAACAGTGTGAGCAGTGATGATTATAATGTCAGCATTGACATTTTGCTACAATTTTGTTCTTGGAAGAGCATAACGTGTTTGATGTAGAGCAGTAATACCTTTTATAGTAACTTTGTTTTTTTCTTCCTCCTTCTCCCTGTTCTATTCAGGTCACAGTTCAGTATATCCAGGAGAATGGAGCAGTCATCCCAGTGCGTGTTCACACCATTGTGATATCTGTGCAGCATGATGAAACCATTTCGCTAGAGAATATGCGCAGAACCCTGAAGGATCGTGTGATCCGAGCTGTTGTCCCTGCAAAATACTTGGATGAGAAAACTATTTATCACCTTCAACCTAGTGGACGTTTTGTTATTGGAGGACCTCAGGTTTGTGTAGTATTATTTTGGTGCTTTTATCAGCTTGCCTTTGTCATTGGCTGTGTCTTAAAACAAATGCTCAGCTCTTTGTCACATCTGTCCTAGGGTGGAAGACACAAGCTGCCTAGTGGAAATATTAAATGCAGTTTTATGTGTTAGAAGCACCCAGGGTTTCATGTGCTGTATGCCAAAGCAACCTTTGAGGTCATGGTTATATCATACATGTGTTGTGATTAGGCAGGCAAGTTGAGCTGAATCTTACATTGCATGTGGAAAGTACAGCCCAGCTCTTGGTAGCCTCAAACCCTCTGAAATCCAGCACTGAGAGGTGCAGTTCTTTCTCATGGAAAACACTTCTTACAGAGAGACGGACACAAGTTTTACTTCTCTTACAGTGAATGTGGTTTTCACATCTGTATAGCTCATACTGTTCTGCCTGACACCTGAGGGTGCTCATCTGTTCTGAAAATCAGCCCCTGATAGGCTCCTCCTAGTGAGAAAATAAATGTTTCTTTCGCTTTATTGAGACAACATGGGAGGTGTGATTCGTGATTTGATCCTGTGCTCACAGAAGTCAGGAAGAAATTCCACTCTCTGTAGGATCAGGACTAATGAGATTTAGTTTTTTAAAACAAATTCACCATTCCCAATGTTTTCAGTTCCCTTCAAAACTATCTCAGCAAAATTTCAAAGCTTCTTCCTAAAATAGGTCCAATTTTCTACAATTCAAAATAGACATTGTCTTTCCTTTGCTGTTCAAATTCATTCATTTACTGGAATTTGTTAGAAATATTTCTAAGGTGCTGTGTCTTTTTTACATTAGTGCCATTAAACAAGTACAAAGGTGTTGAGATTAATCATTATAATAATGATTATACACAAAATATATTTTTGTATAATTGAAGTGATTGTATCACTGTAGTTTTGTGTATCACTGACATCCTAGACTATAGACAAATGGAGACGCAAACTTGAGCTGTAATTTGAGGCAAATGAACTAATGCAGAAATCAGAGCTTCATACAAAAAAAAGGCCACACATAAAGAAATTTTCTGGTGTGCACTGAACTGCACCCATTAAAAAATGTAATATAATTATATATGGTAAGCCAACCAGGAACACAATTTCAGTTCTTGTAGTGGAACTATATTGCTCATGTTTGCACATACAGACACACGCACGTTGCAATCTATTTGCAGTTTAAACCTGTGGTAAGTTTACTTAGTATGGGGTCAATCTGCCTGTGTGGCCATGGCCTTACAACTGCTATCATCACATGTGCAATTTACAATAGCATTGTGGCAAACAGAAAATAACTACTTCTTTCCTTATCTTTTCCATCTTGAACTCTTTTCAGAAGAGTATTACTCAGTTTTATTTTTAATAGCGCCAGCCATAGAAGGCTGTCTTAATCTCCAGCTCAGTTCATTAAAGAAGACACATATATTTCACTTAGGATTTTCACCTTATATTTTTGAGCATGGTGGCACCTTGAATTCTGGCTATGGCAAAATTAGTACTTTTGCTCCTACCACAGTTTTCCCAACAGCAACAACAGCTGGTACTGTGAGGACATCACAGCTTGTCACAAAAGTGGCTTCCACACACTTTGCAAATGCATTTGTGCTCTTTCAGCAACTTTAAAATGAGGGGTGGTTTGGTTTTTTCCTTTCACCTGAAATTTATCATCAGAATTTCATCACAAATTAAGGTCTGAGTCAAGTAGAAGAATCCAAGGACAGGATCCTTTAAACAAGCTCAACTATCTGTAATTCAGATTTATATCTCACTGCTTTTTTAGCAGACTGGAACAAACAGTGCCAAAGGTTTTCTTCTGTGTATATGCACAGTCTTTCTAAGAAAAACTTTGACTCTCCACTTGTGTTTGCTGTGCAAAAGTTCCAGCAGTTGAATTTTACTGACATGATATTCTGTAGAGAATTTCAAACCTGCCTGCAGAGGTGGGGACTGAATTTGAAATGTGGCCGTGTTTCCATTCACACCAGAAAGTTCAAGCATTTGGTAAACTGGAGTGTCGGACAATTGGTCAGCTAACCAAGATCAAATGAAAATATCAAGTATCTGTGAGAAGCAATCAGGATAGCTGTGTAGGCAGCTAGGAGGTTATCTGCACTTCCTTGTTTAATATTTTTAGAATATTCATCTAGAAGTATCTGTTCTTAAAAAGTGATCCTTCTTTCTCAATGAGCTATAACTGCCTACTACCCCATACATTTTGTCTGTAGTTTAAATTAGACTACAGATATTTTGGGGTTGGAAGTGGTGCTGGAAGTATTGTATGCCAGCCTCTATGTAATGATGTATAAAGTGGCACTGACATGCCTTTTGATGGTAAATATGAAAAAGACATCTACTATTTAATAGACACAAAACTTCAGATTTTTATTAAAAGATATGAAAGCCTGATATATTTATTTATTTATTTATTTATTTATTTATTTATTTATTTATTTTTAACAGTTTAAAATCTCTCAGTAGTTCCTATATAGCATGTAGTTTGTTAAAAATACTCTCTGTTGTTTGGATGTGTTAGATATGTCAATTCTAAACTAAAGTTTCCATATTGTCTGGAATATTTACTTTTGAAACAGGCAGTGCATGCTGTAGCTATGGGGGGGTAGATCTATTTGCTTGATTACCAAATACAGTTTGTGTGTGGTTTGTTTTATGAATGTGTCTTTAAGGAACATTTATAGCCGCTGTTGTAGCTTGGTGAGACAAGTTAATTCCTTCAGCTAGCACACAGCAATCCACATTTGGTAAACTTACTTACAAGCTGTTGTAGCCTTCTGAAGGATGCATAACCTTGTTTAGGACTTATAATAAAATGATTATAAAATGGAGAAATTCTTTTATGGATTCAGGGTGATGCTGGTGTTACTGGTCGAAAGATCATTGTGGATACTTATGGTGGCTGGGGAGCCCATGGAGGTGGTGCCTTTTCTGGCAAAGATTATACAAAGGTGGATCGATCAGCTGCCTACGCAGCCCGTTGGGTGGCCAAGTCTCTTGTGACAGCCGGGCTCTGTCGCCGTGTTCTGGTCCAGGTATAGTTTGTTGTGCATGTTGCTTTGCTCTGAAACATATTTCCTTTTCAAATTTACCTTGAATGCACATCATACAAGACACTAGTCGAAGCAGTCTTGGTGATAGCTTGGGGTTGCAAAACGGAAGACCCTGATGTGGTTGGTTCAAGACCACTGTAATGTCACAGCCTATCATCTCCTTGAAGCTGGAAATTTTCATTTAGCTTTCATGTTATTGGCTGTTATTCTGGAGACTTAAACCCTCTGACACCTACCATCATGGAAATTAACATGGGTTGATTGGGTAATGGGGAAGAAAGTTACCCAGAGATCTTAGCATTTTCGGAGTTTTATCTTTTTTTTTTTTTTTCCTACAAATACAAATTATGCAAATGTGGGAAGTGAAGGAGAGGTCTTATTTCTCCTAAGATGAATGCTTTCTTCTGTTGCATACTGCTGCCCATCGAGATGCCATGTTTATTTGCTAAATATGTTATCTTTTTTTGCCATAGGTTTCTTATGCCATTGGGGTCGCGCATCCATTGTCCATTTCACTGTTCACTTATGGAACTTCCAAAAAAACAGAGAAAGAGCTGCTGGACATTGTGCACAAAAACTTTGATCTTCGGCCTGGAGTCATTGTCAGGTATAGAAACACACAAAAAGGATGTTGGTGATCACACCCTAGAAACAATTTGTTGCAAAACCAGTAGAAGTTGCAATGTAAGAGTCAGTCTCTTGAACTAGCATAGGATTGTTTCATGCAGTATAAAAGAGACTTTCTGTCATTCTGTCAGTCTTCACAGTTGATACTCCATGCATCTACTGATGTGCCATATCTTTTAAGATAGATCTTTTTAAGATAGCAGACCTTTTAAGATAGCATATCAAGCAGATGTACTTTTCAAGTTTCATATGAAACATATACTTTCAGCATTTGGCCTGATATAGTAGGTGGAATTCAAATAAAATAACATTTGTATTCCAAGATTTTTTAATTACTTTACTGCGAAAAAATATATTTTTTGTTTTACAAAAGGAACTGAAAGTTATTTTATCTTTCCCATTAAAATTAGTAATTCTTAATAATAGTCTTTTCCTGAGGCCTAAAGTACTTCACGTTTAAGTTTTGTTGTCACTTTTATTGCTCTCTATTGGACACGTTCACTGGTATGCTTGCATCTCCAGAATATGCCTGCTTGCTTAAGGGTGTGAAATGGAAAATAAACGTCAGGATTTTAATGGTAGTTACCATGAAGTATCTTAACGTGAAGAATTTTCTCTGCTTTTTATTATACACACAGGGATTTGGACCTAAAAAAGCCCATTTACCAGAAGACTGCCTGTTATGGTCACTTTGGAAGAAATGAATTCTCATGGGAGGTGCCTAAAAAACTTGTGTTTTGATATTAGCAGTCATCCTTTGAAAACAAAAAGGAAGAGGAGTCCACTAATTATGAGGGTGCTCCCAAAAATCAAATCTGACGGCTTTGTATTCAGCAAAAGGAATTTTAGATTTTAAATTGAAAGAAAGAAAAGGATATTTTCTTGGAAATTGATTATTTTTAGCCCTCAGTGTCTTTCATCATCTAAGATATAAAGACAGTCTGGGGTTTTTTTTTAATGAGCGTAAGACAACAAAATACAGTTTACTTTTTTATTGCTGCTCTGTTGGTTCTTTTGATAAAAGCAAAGTATGACTCAGGTACACAAACCAACGGCTGACCCTCAAACCTGTCATGGGCAAAGTCAAGATGACTTTCCCAACTCTGACTAAGGATCAGCAGATCTCTTGCTTCTAATTAGACAATGGGAAATTCTGGGGTCCAATTTCCTTTCTGGAGTTTGCATTGCATACAGCTGGGGGTTGCTTTGATGGGAGAAGGCTGAATATCACGTAACTGTATCTCAGCCTCTTTTGTAGATGTTAACATATACATAATATTTAAACCACCTTCATTGCATATGTGCTGTTACCGTTGTGTTTCAATTACCTGTGTTTTTGAAACATAAGTGTTCTCCTTTAAAATATCAATCGGTGAATAAAAGGCTTTTTCCTACCATGTATGTAAAGGTGCCTCTTTTCCTATTCCTTTTAATGTTAAGGTCCATCTCAACTCAGCCACTTACACTCTTGAAGGACTTTTGTTTACCAAGGTAATTGGCTTTTATTAGATTTTGGAACTGTGATACTAATTTATCTTTCACTACCTGTGTGATCTCTGTTTAGTTCATGTGATTAATAGAAACTTGGTGAAAAATTATTAGCTTCTTATTTTTAACTCTTAGGTTTATGCTATTCAGTATTCTCTCATAATTTTTGCTCCCAAACTGTTAGGTTTATTGCATGCCTTACTGGGTTTGATGTTCTTGTAGAATAAAATAAAGTGCATAGAAATAACTGCAAAGCATCAACAAATATGTATAGCACGAGGTTAAAATTTGGGCCACTATCCTCCCCAGCGGTGTCTCACCAAAGAACTAGCCGCTAGATGGCTGTGTGTCCCACAGCTGTGGGAGCCAGTTTGTGCTGAAAGCATGTCCCTGTTTGTGCCAGCATGCAGCTACTAAATCTGGGTACCAATACCCTGTTACTCCTGATGCAGATAGTGACGTGCATAAGTGGATTGGATATGATCTAGACTGAGGACAACTACTTTTTGCAAAGGACTATGGATTAATCCCAGGTTTGTTTAAATTGGGAGGGTGTTGAGATCACATTTATCCTCTCTAATCAGCTTGGTTTGTCAGTAGGCAAAAAGGATGAACGTAATCCGGCAATACAAGGGTTACATACGTGTGACCCCTAAAAGTCACCTAATCCTAGCTTTGTGGTGTTAAGCAGCATCCTGTTAAATCTTTTACACTGGAGAAATGCTGCCACCCCATGTTTCTTTCCACTTTGAACAGTGTCTTCCAAACAGCTGTTGAGATGGAGAGTGCATGACTGTGATGATCATGAAAGAAAAGCTGCCATTCATTCTCTTCAACTATGTCACAAACACACAGACTTCCATTCAAGCCAGAAATTGCCCCACTTTATTAACAATGTGTAAGTGGAGATGAACAAGTAGTAGGTTTATGTGTAATCCTCCCCTGGACTTACAGCATTAATCAGTAGCCCTCGTTAGACATCTGGATATAGATTGGCAGAAAAATATCTTAAAGTGCAGGTGCATCATCTTAAAGAATTTTGTTGGCAAAAATTTCCTAGGTACAGTTTTCCCTGCTGCATATTGCTCATCTTGCAAAGGAAAAAGAGTTGTGTGCGCCAGCTTCAAACATATAAACTGCTTGGAAGCAGGTCCCACTGGTCTGCCTAGAAATATAAACCTTGGCCTTCCTCATGAAAGACTACCTTTGCTAATGAACTTTTAGCTAGCAGTAATATATATACAAAGGCATTTTACTACTAATAGTAGGGAAGTCACCATACACACTGCCACAGAACTTTTTTGTAGAAGTGTTGCAGTCTTACACATTCCTGTTTATCAAGACTTCCCTCAGTTGCATAAGAAGGCATACCTTCATTGATGTGATGGAAGCCTTGCCACTTCTTCAGAATCTCCTGCTCATGATGTGTTACACTACAACTAGCAGAAGCAAATGAATGAAAAATAAATGATACCTGGAAAAGTGCTGTATAAATAAATGTATTCCATAACATAGCATGAAATCAGAATGTCCTATGTCAACAAAAATAAACATCTGCAGACAAAGCGAGCAGCTCTGTTCTGCTGGTAACAATAACAACCACTGAAGAGGTTGTTGGAGAGGGAGCATGTGTGTCTTGTTGGTTTGGTGGGCATGCAAGGTCAGTGTGGAGACTTGGAAGTAGGGGGTGTGTGATAGGCTGCTGAGTGAAAGGCCATGACTCTGAAACCTGTGTTTTACAGAGGGTCAGTCACACCCCGAGCACATGAGCGTTATCTGGGCAATTGTTTTAATCTGATCATGAACGTATAGGGTAGAAATGATTGAACTTCCATGACAATTCAGCTTTTCCCACAAATGGATATAAGCAAATGAGATTCGTGGCGCCATTTAAAAAACCCTCAAACCTACAAGTAGAAATACCATGCAGCTGCTAATACAGCATGCACACAGCAGGTATGCAGTTGGTGATATAATATACATAGAAAGTAGATTTGTGTTCTTGGGACTTTTTTCTTTCCTTTTGTACTGCTGTTGCTGCTTTGGTTAATCAGTATTTAATAACCCAGAATCTGGAAATTTGCTTTCCTTACTGTCGTGGTTTAAACCCAGCCAAGTAGCTAAACTCTGGGTGCTACAGGATGTAGAGCACATCCCGTTGCTCCAAATCAGTTTAGCCATCTTTTGATGTATCTCTTCTTGGAGAAGAGATACAGGGTTGAGTCCTGTAGGTAAGGCATAATTATGTCCTCTATATGAATGTGCAACGTGTCTGTGAGAAACAGACACAGACAGAAGGGGGAAGGTGGGCAAAGAGCAAGAGCATTCAAGAGTGTGCGTACACTAAACATGTTTACAGTAAACCAGTTAATCTGAAAGCCAGACTGCCTCAGTGCTGTATTGAGAGATCTCCCCTTGCCTTCCTAAAACCATGCTGTTGAAATCTCTGCTGGCTTCCCAGCAAGTTGAGCAATATGTGTATCTCCCTAATGCCTTATCACAGCACTGCCTTGGAGCAAGGCACACTGTAAACAACCAGTGACCCACCCACATGCAGCCAGCCTCTCACCTGACTCCGCTGCTTCAACTCTTAAGCTCCACAGGCAACAGGTAGCTAGCCCCTGGTCTCCTGCAGAAAAAATGCCATTCGGCTCCTGCCCACTTTGGAAAACACTGGGTTTTATAAGCTTAGCAGTGCTTCTTGCAGGTAAGATATGCCATTCATGGATATGACTCACAGTTATTTAAATAGTGGCTGCTTTTCTTAGGGAAATGAAGCATCCCACTTGGGAACCCAGCCCTGGGTGGCCACAAACAGGCAGGCAATCAGCTTGCTAACTGTTTAGAATAAATCAGCCTTTGCACAGTTTATTCACATTTGAGCCCTGATCACCAAAGGTAGAAAAGGTAGCACTAGGACTGCAGAATAGTGGCGCAATTGTCATAAACAAGTACTGTTATGTGGTATTTGGGGTTTGTTCATGTGTTGGGAAGGATTATAAACCAGCTACATACCTGCTTCTGTTTGTCTTTTAGATTTTACTAAAATTGGAGCTTTTGCTAATCCAAATGAATGTAAGAGTGCAACCATAGATGATGTCAATGAGAGTCTTAAGGTAAGAGGGTAGCTGTATCGGCCAGCCCAGGTCCTGCTTTACATGCACAGTCTGTGGTGGTGGGAGGAAAGAGCAGGGCTCCACCATGTATGCCTGTGCAGTCTGAGCACAACTTGCATATTGCTTTGGTGACACATGGTTCGAAACAACAGTACGTGGCCCAGAGGGGAGTAAGATGGATGAGCAAAAAAAGATCAGTGTCATTTGACTTATGTCTTTGGCCCTGCTGCTAGTCAAAAATACACGCTTTTAAGGTGTATTTTCCAGTTTTGCTTTGGTCCAGGTATAAAAATTGACTTCAGAATAAACAGTTATGTCTTTTGTTTTACAAGCATAATGCCGTTTTCAGTCTCTTCTATTTATTGTTTCAAATATAAAGTGCTAGATTTTTTAAATGCAAGTAAAGCCAGTCATCTGACAGCCTATGTTTTATGAGTTAGTGCCCTTGTCTTCTATGGGCTAGGCCTATCATAAGGGAGTGATCAGACAATGACCCTTCAATACAGCAGAAATGGTAAAGAAACACCAGAGCAGAGTCTATAAAAAAATGTTCACACACAGCTGAGCCACTTATCTATGAAATGGTAATGTGGAACTAATGGCTGGAGTTGGGTCCTTGTACCAGTACAAGCTGTGAACTTCTGCCTGTGGTATCATTCTCATCACTTGGGAGGGGAAGGCTGAGGACAACACTTGCCAAGGAGGTATTCTCCCAGGTGTCTGAGCTTTTCCCCCCAGAGATTTTAATTATTTTATTTCTATGACTGATGTCCATCATTTTCACAATAATTCTGCAGGCTCCAGCCTGAGAAGCAGAGTTAGCCATTGCAGGCTACTGATTCAGCAGCTGTCACTGAAAATTTGACTTGCTCTTTTTCTTGCATGCACGTGAGTTCGAAGTGACTGGTGTCTGTTATAATGATGGCATGCACTGGTGTTTTGGTTGTGGAGTTTAGTATGGCTCTGCAGTAGGCACATGTGTATAGGCACACATATATGGAGTAAAAGCTATTGACACATGTATACAGCAATACCCAGTTAAATATAGGAATGTGTTCACAAATATGTATTTTTACACACACACAGAAAGTCTGAGAGATATCAGCATTCAGCCGATAAGAATAATAACCTAACGTTTCATACAGAAAGAAGATACATACAGTTGTTTGTAAAGGTATCATTTCATATATAAGAAAAAAAGCAACAACTCAGATCAGTTCTCCCTCTTGAACTCAATATAATGGGAAAAACCTATCTAGCCACCATTTTAAAAAATTGCTTGATTTCTTCCAAAAACATTGTGGGGTAATTAGCATTACTTACAGCTAGATCATTTTCAAGACGTTTCTTGTTCTGCATAAAAAAAAAAAAAATAAAAAAAATTGCCACTTTCATGAATTAATTCCAAGGCCTTTCCTCTTCAACTTAGCTGTTTTTTTCCCTAACTCCACAGAAATATTCAAACTGTTTTGATGAAATGATCCCTGAGAGTAAAAAATCTTCAATCAATTTCCTTGTCTGGACACTGCAAGAAATGCTTGATCTCCTGCGCCCTGTTCAAGAGAAATGTGAGGCCCCTCTTGAAGCAATGCTCCTCTCTGCTGGGTGTAAAACAAAGTGGCAGTGGAGAAGCACTAAGAAAATTTCTTTACCTACAGTCAGAGTGAGCTAAGTCTCTGCATGTCTTGAAGGGGGCAAAGAACAAGATAAAAGGCATCTCAGCAAAACAAGGGTGCTTAACCACTGGGCTGGCAGGCATCTGGGGGGGGATAGCAGCCCCAGTGCGTGGGGTCCCACCATCCC